CAAACATATCAGCTTTGGATTGGTTGGGTTGCCCGAGGCCTCAACCCTGACCCCACCTGAAGTCAAACCAGGTTTATATATATTTTATGCTAAAGCCAACCGGATCCAAGTTGCTTCCCTAGGCCTTGGTTGGTAGGATGGTTAATTATAATAAGGTGCTTTTTAGAAAGTGGGTTTAGAACCAACTTAGCTAATACATGAAAAAATATCAAAATCTACAATCAAAGATTATAGCAGTCTCTCTGTCTCTAAGGATTGAAGATCCCTTCTCTACCATCATGTATCAAGGGTAGCAAAAATGTCAATGTCGAGTGACAAAACTGGAAAAAAAATATATCTTGTAAGATTCATTGGGTTTCGTAGAAAGAGAAGGTTGATTTCTTGTTCTTGATCAGTGGAATTTACATAACAAAATCGATCAACTGATCATATTTATTTAGCTAGGTTTTAGGTGGGAGTGTCATTGTCATGTGCAATGAAAGTTATAGCTAGCTAGGCATTTGCCTATAACATTGACTTCCAAGTGAGTCCAAATATGAAGTATGAAGATGATAATTAAGGGAGTTAATACATGTGATAATCTTAGTTTAATATACTAAAAACTCACTCAAGGGAACCAAACGTGTCTCTTTATTAGTGACATGAACCACTTATTTAAAGTTTAAACGATGCCCCAAGAGACTATATATATCTTAATTAATAAACAAGGTCTACTTGTAATTACTATAAAGTACTCGTTTAAACAATTGAGGTTTCAGTAATCGATTTTCCTAATTTTGTTGACTCCAATATTTTATGTTGAAGACATAAACGTGTGTGTTTACAAGTGATTTGGTTGGCAAATCTGTCAACTGTAAATAATGTTGAGTAGATGGTTTAGTCAGAGGAGGAATGTTGGGAACTGCACGAGAGCAAGTTGACCTCCTTCTCACTTCCTCCACCTGAACTTGCACAGAAGATCAACAAATATTTAATAACAGAAACAAGCTAAAGCAGCTGGCTGAACCTGTGTGAACCATCGCCAAACTGCATAAGATGGTTGGTGCCTTGGTGGGTTCGCACCAGACTGGCCGCCGGTCTGATCCCTGAGGAGGATATATAGTTATTAGCATCTTTTCATTAGAAATTTTGATTTTCTATCTTCTATATATCTAATCTTTCTGCATTAATCTCACCCAATTCTCTCAGAACAGAACCTCTCAGACAGACAGTGTGATCGACCGACTGTGTGAGTGATATTGATCCGATGAAGCAGTTTCCCACACTTTTTCACCAAAGGTGAAAAGTTCCAAATGAAAGCCTGAGGTTACGGAATGTTTCTGCTGTTCTGGGGAGCAGAAAATAGTTGTTTTTGTGTTTGGGGGAACACAGCAGAACTGCAGAAACGTTCCAGCAACGTTACTTATTGCGGCATTAAGCCATTAATTACTTCCTGACTTCTACGGACGCTTACATCGTAAACATGTACTTTCTTTTTCTTTTTTTCTTTCGGAAGGCAAACGTGAAAATAAGCACTGTTTTTCTATCTGTGAGTGATGAGGAGAGACCAGAGAAGTAGAGAGGTTTACGTCTCCTCAGTAGCTTGGAAGTTCTCTCCTTCAGTTAGGTGCAGTTGGACCAGTGGGATTACTGCAGATTCACTAGCTTTTTGTGTGAAAAAAAAAAACCAGGAACAGACTTACAGACCATTCATTCATTCATTCATCCCACGCACCCTCCTTGCTTGTTACTGTTACTGATCTCTACTGACTCCAGTTTCAGTCGCATTGGCTTCTGTGTTACTCCAACGGTTGCAGGTGGCACAACTTGGTACAGGGCCGACCAGTGATTTCATTCGGTAATTTACGTGTAAATTTGACTGTTAGATTTGTAATCAGACGACCAGATGAACCTGTTCCACCAACCAACCATCAGTTGGTGAGACATCGACTTAACGCTGTGACACACACAATTAAAATAGTAGCCAACTTGGGTATGGACTATGGATCCCAAATCCCCCAATCGTACTCTAATCACCATTTTCCCCTGCTTTCAATAACCTCTACAAATATTATAACAACACCGGCCGTACCATGGAGCAGGAAGGAGAAGAAGAGAATTATATCGATTATCGTCCTCTCCGCGGTGAACATTCATCGTCCAGACTTCAGAGCTCAATGGGTTGTTCAATTCTCGTTCTAATCCTCCAACAATCTTGTCCTAATCCTAGGGAGATCAGAAACTGAGAACTGATAACTGAGAAGAACTCAGTACGTATGACCAGCGAAATCCCCTCCCGGCTCCCCCCCATCGCTTTTCTTATTAAAGTTTGCTTTCTTTTTCTGTGTCTGATTGCTTCATCTTCTCCCGCACGGACAAGACAAGTGGCGGACGGCCGCGCCGTCCGCACAGATTCAAACTTCTCCAGTAATTAATAAAATAAAACCAGCAAGTGGAGCTGAGCTGAGAGAAGATTGCATTGGTGTTGCTTGGAAATCAGCTTTTTTTCCTGAGAGAAGGGACCAGATGAATGACATCATAAGAGGACACGTGTCAGAGCAGTACCACTGAACCGGACTCAGAACTGCATGTCATGTGGCAACAGCTGTGGCATGGTTTTGCGTGGTCGTCAGTGAACGACTCCAAATCCAAGTTAAACGGCCACCTTCCATTTTCTTCTCTATTTGAAAAAAAAAAAAAACGTGATCCCAAGGTACCCGTTACGGTGTCCAACTCTTGATGGGTCCCCATCAACTGGATCTAACGAGTCTGTCTTTCCATCTTGACCGTCCGCCAAATCTGGTGCCAAATATGTCGCCAAAATTAAGGGTATTTTCGTACTTACAGGAAATCATTGGCTTCAGCGTCTATGGTTCTTTACGTGCGGAGCTGAGCTCCATCTACATGCATGCTTTGAGTTCGTCGTTGCACTTGTTAAGTATGTTACTTAACGATTAATTCCTTAAATTACCGATTTAGCCCAGTAAGTATTCTAGCTTTCAAGGTTTATAGTTTGCATTTGGGCCCGTTCGTTTTCTAGGTTTATCCGGTGAAAGTGTTTTGTAGGTAAAACTTTTTCGAATAAACTTGATTCTAATAAAGGTCAGTTTGGAAAAAACATAAATAGTAATATGTATAGTGCAAATACATACAAAATAATATAAAATAAAGGGTTTTTCACTCTACATAATTGTATTTGTAAGGTTCAGTTTGAAAGGAGTATAAATATAAATATATACAATATAAATACATACAAAAGGATATAATATACAAGGTTTTGCACTCTACGTATTTGTATTTGTACTTTGATGATACGCGATTTAGTGCTCCTTGCTACAGACAGGTCGGACATTGGACTGAGTAGGTTGCCTGGTTAAGCTGTAAGAGAGAGATCAAAGTGGCTGGGTTGCTTTACCCGGGGTGGGTAGTTTGATGCTTAAGTCAACGAAATAGGAATGTGATTGCAAAAATACAAGAGAACTAGAGTGCTTGAGAGCTAAATTATGTGTACCTTCTAAGGTTGGAAGTGAGGTCCTTATATAGGTGGGTTGTTGTGAGCCTCACGAAACGGGTCTGGGATCTCCGGCCCGTCTAGTTCGGAGGTGGTTTCACATCTGGAGATGGATTCCATGCAAACAGATAATGTCTATCCAATCCCGTCCAAAACGGATAGGGTGATAACCAGTTCTTCCAACGTGGCGTTATGATCTCGAGGAATTTGGAGGCGATTGACCACTTAAAGGGGAGGTCGTTCGAGACGTTAGGTAGATCGCTAATCGGGACCAGGGCAATTCGGTAGAAGCAAGTCGCCTAACTGTTCGTAGTTCGGCCTACCGAGGTGGCGTCGAGGTCACTGATGCAATTGTGAAGTGTCCGAAATAATCTGCTTATGTGGTGCCGATATATCACCCAACTGTTCTACAATGCCACATGTCATAATGCCATTGGAAGACCAAATTACCTCTCATCATTCTCCTTCCAAATTGAGCCTAGGCTCCATTTCAAAAGAGTATAAATACAAATATATAATATAAATACATACAAAATATAATGTTTTGTATTCTACGTATTTGTGTTTATATCCCTTTCAAACTTAGCCTAATGTTCTTGTGCGATATAAGTTATTTGGGCAAATAAAGAGAAATGGGAGGGAGAGAGTGTTAATAAATTGCTTATCCAACATCCTAAATCTTGACTTATCATGGAACCCACAATAGCAGAAAATGAATTTGGGGATATGGTAAACTATCCCATTAACCAATACTTATATCCAACCTCTAGGTAATTGATATAGCCGCAAATGAACGTGTGAATTATGGTCAACTGTTTGATTAGCCAATTTATCCTCCACTACTTGTCCAACCTCCATGTAATTGATAATTTCCCATATCTAGCAACAACTAAATGTGGGGTCCTAATCAAATTATTCAATTGACCAACTTACCCTCTCCTAAATACCGGTAGAGGATCGATAGTAGAATAATAAAATGAGACATGAGTGGATGGCGTTAGATACCAGAATTTTGATGTCATATAACCCTTTTAACGACGTCATCAGTCTCATTTCCAACTATTCTACGTTGAGGTGTAGAAGATGGATTACATCCCAAGGATGGGAACATAAATGAAGGGGGGATTCTTTCATTTGGTAGAAATGAAAGGGAAAAGACAAGAGAGAGAAGGGGGATTCAAGATTGCTGATTGGTGGGGGATGTTTGTCCCACGTGAGGATGGGTGTCGCACGTGGGCATAACTGTTGCAGTTGGGTGGTTAATTGGGGGGATTTGCTAGGTGGTACAGAGATACAGAGAGAGTCACAATGGAGCGCATGTATGTTTGCTTCACGCAAGCGGCTGCAGCAAGGGTGGTCTGTTGGGGTTGCCGTGGCTTTAAAGTTTGAATAAAAAAGCTAGTCCCTTCAATGTCCCCACCAGTTACCACCAGTTCCCCCTCTCTCCACTCCATCCAACGCTACTCCTCCTACTACTTTATTGTATTCTTCTTATTTACCTACACACACCCCTCCTCCATTCCCTATCCCCCCTTTCCTCTCCAAATATATACCACCCCATCATCACTTCCCTCCTCTCTCTCTCTCTCTCTCTCTCTCTCTCTGTGACCCCACTATTAACCGAGTCTCACTAAGGAAGGTGAGATCGATTCTGTAGAGATGAGCGGAATCAGTGTTAATAGTAATGGTAGTGGCGGTGGTGGTGGTGGGCCTTGTGGTGCTTGCAAGTTCTTAAGGCGAAAGTGCGTAAAGGGTTGCATATTTGCACCATATTTCGATTCAGAGCAAGGAGCGTCGCACTTCGCGGCGGTGCACAAGGTGTTCGGTGCGAGCAACGTGTCCAAGCTGCTCTTACGTATCCCAGTTCACAAGCGTCTGGACGCCGTCGTTACCATCTGTTATGAAGCCTTCGCTCGCATCAGAGATCCCGTTTATGGTTGTGTCGGCCATATCTTCGCTCTCCAGCAACAAGTAAGCCAACCCCATTTCCTCCTTTCTTCTTTCCACGACAACAGAAAGGAAATAATGAGTCTAAGTTGTAATCAAGATGTCAAACGGTTAGGTTTCGGGATCTGGTATTGCGTCTGTAGCTTGTTAATTTGGTCATCTTAGACTTTCCTAGACTGTGTGTGGAATAAGGTTGAAAGTTGATGACTTGAAGGCTAGCTCCTGCTAACATGCGCTGTTAGGGGGGAACCCCCGGGTGGAGATCACCAAACCAAAATGGTCTCATGGTCTGTCTCTCTCACAGTCTCACTCAACTTACTCCACTCTTATCCCTTTTAATTTGCTTGCCGGAATTAGCAAGTAAACTTGGTAGCAACTCTAGGAATTAATATTCAAATGTTTTATATTTTGACTTTGTTGGTGCATTCTATCTCTTCGAGGCAGAAATCTAATATGGTCTGAGTTTAGTTTTCTTGTTTCATTTAATGTTATTTACATTATTATAATGCAAGTTTTACTGAATTAATTCCATACTCCATAGACTTTACAGCCTTATCCGTTCTTCACACCGAGTCTGAGGTCAATGGGTGGGACCCACGTTGGAGGGCTCTCTCTCTCTCTCTCTCTCCTGATCATCTCATGATCTTAATCTTTCAGTGTTTTAATTAGAAATCCTTCTTTATCCATATCACAAAATCTTTATCCTGTGGATTGGGGCCCATTAATTGGGAGGTCCAGACTTCTGACTTCCGAATTGAGCTTGACAAGAAGGTGAAACTTTTTTTTTTCTTATTTTTCAAATACCTCATCTTTTTATCATGTTTTGGGTTAGGTAAAACGCAGATACTAAGCCCAAGAACTCATCTTTCAAGGGGGCCTCCACCATGTTATTTACTTGTTTTATCTTTTATTTCTTAACTATAATAATAGTACTGTTGAAAGAGTTGAGCTTAGAGAAAAGTTGGACTTGATCAAATTTTTAACTATTTGATTGGTGGGCCTGTTCCCTTGTCTTCATTAATCCAACCGTCCAAACTGATTCTATTGTATACAATCTGTAAACCTATTGATCAACTAATATCTGGTCTAGCATGTCAAATGGCTTGTCAAAAATTTCCTTGTTCAGTGGGTCTTTGTTTTAAGCTCTTCTAGTTAGGTAAGATCAGCCTAGTATTTTATCAAGAGAGAAGAAGGAGCAAGAGGTTCACCTTGGTTCTGTGGACCATATTAGCTTTTCTCTTCAACCAAAGAACCCACTATTACTACATAAATAACTTCTATTAGGACATTAAGTTCAATAATTCTCCCTACATGAGGGTCCATGCCATAGTTAACGTAGTTAGGGTATAGAAAGGTACGGAGGATCATATTGACTGTAACTGGATTCTTATGATCAAAATTTCAACCCTATATATTCCAATAAATTTAAAGAAAAAAAAGGAAAAAACAACCTACAGTCTCTTTATCTTTAATAATAATATATGAAGCTATATAAGAAATTTTTAATTCCATAGTTTTAGGTGATGTTATTCTTACAACCTGATTTGTCCACATAGTAATGTTTTCTTGAAATAATTTACACAATTTGAAGACTTTGAATTATTTTAAGGTTGAAATAATTTGCCATGCAAATTTCATTTGCATTACTGTAAATGCATGGGAGTGAAATTAGGAAGAATGTAAATTTTGAGTTAATTTTGTTTCATATTTGACTGTCTCATTTGCTTGTGATAAGTAAAATGTAGTCCTCCACCTTATATGAAAGAGAATAGAGATAGGAGATTTTTTTTTTTATTGTTTGGGAGTAAATTAAAATTAGACAGCAATATGATGCTGACCCCACTTTCGTTTGTGTGTGATAGAGAGAGAGGGAGAGAGGGATTTGATATTTATAAATTGTACTGTCAATAAGTGCAAATAAGACAAAAAAAAAGTACAAAATATGTGTTTGGTTCAGATTTGCAGTGTAAATAAACAAAGTTAAGCTTTTAAGTTGGGTTAATGCTTATGTAGGATACCTTAATCCAATTGCTTTTGAAAGAATAATTAGGATTTATTTTTCACAGAGTGCATCTCACACCGATCTCATATAAAGTATAGGAGATATTTCCGATGTGGCTGAAAAGCATAGTGAGGTTAGTGTGAGGAGCGCTATGTCAGGAGCAAATCCAGACAATATCCCACATCACATCCCCACCTTGTATTGGAAACATTGGCGGGATGTGCTGTGGGACGTTTAATGGTTCCCCCCCCCCAAACCCCCTGAGTATGAGATTTTTTTTTTTTTTTAATATGACCGGAGGAAAAAAAAAAGTTTAGTGTTTTAGTTGAAACACCAATCAGAGAAAAGTTTGGCCTTTGCGAATGCAGGTGGTGAATTTGCAAGCAGAGTTGGCATTCATCAAAGCCCAACTCACAACCATGGAGCTACCTCAGTCTCTGTCTCCATCGCAATCTTCTGCATCGGCAAGCCTTGGCGTATCTTCGGACTTGATACCAACTTCTCTTGAATCCATGTGTTTTGACCCTGACCCTCTCCAGTTGCAAGAGATAGTTGAGATGGCAGATTGTTGGAACCAATGTGATGACCAAAATTCTAACAATGGTGATCTCTCGGCATTGGCACAAGAATTTGTCTCCATATACTTGCCAGGTGTACGATTTCGACCATCCGATTCTTGTTGACGTGTCTAAACAACTGTTGCTAGTCTGAAACCAGTTTCTTCTAAGCCTTTTAGCAATCAGTGTAACTTGATCATAGAGTCCTACAGACTAATCAAATTGACTTGAGCATTGAAATTTCTTCTTTTTCTTTCCCACACTCGAGAGGTCCCTATAATGCAGCTAGTTATTGGCCATTTGGCCTGGCTGTAAATGGGTCCTTGTGGCTGTGGGCTGTGCAGTGCAGAGGCTTGAAATGGGCTTCTTTAATTACAATTTTCATTATTTGGTAAAACATGGGCCCATGCCTCATATCTATAATACAAACATTGATCTCTAATTCAATGAGGTTATCCAATGGATTGCCGTGGTTGAGTTCCACTAGACTGGTTAGAGGCTCATATAATAGAGGAAGCATCTAGTGGAATCTCTTGCCCTTTTCTTTGCGCTGGAGCCCATGAATGGAAACTACTGCACCTATATTTGATAAGAAGAGCTACTTGGGAGGAGGGGTGTTAATGGACTGCTTTTGGGTTGGACCCGTACAATTTGGACAAACCTATAAGATATATTGAATTGGACCAGTCCAGATTTAATGGTCCAAAGTATTTATTAGATTGGATTGAACTTGGTCCATCTGTAATGGATTTATATTGGATTGTGTTGGATTGAACCAATATCCAGTCCATTGATAGAAGAAAAAAATACAGGTGTCAACAGACCAGGTTTGGGTTGGAACTAAGAGTCAATCTAAATTAAAATCAATTTGTAGTCATTGGATTGGATTAGACCTGATCCATTTGTAATAGATTCATATTGGACCGAATTGGATTGGACTAAATCCGGTCCTATTGACACTCCTACTTGGGTGGTGGTGATCGGTGACATGCATTGCAAGGAAAACAATTGTATTGGCATTGATTTTGGAGAACTTTTGTTATGTTTAGGTTATCAGAAAGTTTAATGAGAAATGGAAATTTGTGGGAAGTGCCCGAAGCATATTATGAAAAGTATGAACTCGGCTTTAGTCAGTGCAAAGCCCGTTCGAACAGCCTTTGGAGTCTTGCATTGGGATATCTCCCCATGAAATAAGATGCATAGGTACGGAGATATTCCCAGCACAAGGCTGTTTGAGCGGTGTTTGAACGGGCCTTGCACTGACTGAAGCCGATCTCGAAATGTATTTATGACCTAACAACTTTCAATTTCTCAATTGTTTTCTTAGAAACCAAACACAGTTAAGGGTTTCACTTGAATATCTTCACAGCACGTTGGAAATTTATGGACCTTGTTTACAAGGGCTGATGGGCCTATGTATCATTAATCTGTCGCATCCATTTCATCCAAACAGGGAAAAAGGAGTATTCTGTTTGAAATTCCATGGCTTTGTGATGGCACGAGCACATCAAGAACAATGATTCCCTATAGCTTTGTTTGGTTTGAAAGAAAAAATAAAAGAGATTTACAAAGTTTAGGGGAAGTTCTCAATCAAGCTTGTACAATTCCTTGAGAAATTTTCCTTAACTTTGTTTCTTATATTAGACAGATGTTGGAATCTAGATGTAGAAGGATATTGAATAGAAGTTTTGATGGTCAACAGTCAAAGAAACAATTAGCATATATATATATATATATAGGTCCACATTAGCGATTCAACCGTCCTACCCTGTAGTGGGACAATAGTTCAATTTTATGGAGTATTGACATCATAAATCATATAATAGAAATGTAAAAATAAATAAGCACACAAAAGTATCAAAACAACTGTAATTGGATGGGAGTCGAATCAAATCCAACCACATCCAAATAAGATCCAATTATTGAAACTTCAAATATGAATCTGATCCAAATTTAATAATATCGGACTTGGCCGCTTTATTGTATTTAAAATAAAGAAATTTTAAAAATTAAAAAAAAATCTAATTGGTTTTAACTTATGCATATATGTTATAAGCTTATAATATAAACACTGAATTTATTAATCATAAACTTTATGTAATTATATATGATATCTAATGTATACAAAAATTTGACCATGTCTACAACATTATATACTTATCGTGTTAAACAAAAAAAAAAGTATTGCAAATGAGGCTTTTGTTGATGATGGAAGTTGCTAAAAACACAAAAAGTATACAAAGAAATGATTTATCGTTTAACCTAAAGTCCACTGATTGGGTCAAAAGGCTTGATGGTTCAACAAGATGAATCATTAGGTCTCTAGCTTAGTTTATTTTTAAGTTTTAGGTGTGAATACCTATACCTCTGTTAGAACACTCTAACAAGAGGCATTACAAATGATCAAAAAACCCATGCAATTACTATTATGACTGGTTTCTGTTAAAAACAATGGTGATCAGAAATTTTAGGGAGTTTTAATAATGGTTAGGAACTTTGGGGGAGGTTTCAACAATTTACTTTAATCCCTTTTGGCTCTACCTAGTACCTAATAAAGTAGGAGTGTTAATTAGACTGATTGGGTTGGGTTAATGGCCAACCTAAATATGAACCCTAACTTTGACCCAACCTAATGTCAAAACCCAAATTTGTCCACCAATACATGGAGTAAACCAATTTTCTTCTTATATAAAGGTCTAAAGAAACCATTCTCCTTTCCATGGGTTATTAGGTTTTTCTTTGTTCTTTTATTAATTTAATATAGATTTGTTTCATGTATTCTTTTGGTTCAGTAAGGAAAAATGCTTAGCATGAGCCTTTGGATATCTTCGTTAGTTCGATTTTGAATTGTTTTTTAACTTCGTTGTCTTCATTTTTCCTTAAAAGTGCATTTGCAAAAGCAGCCCATGTATCGCATGGGTTCACTCTAGTTAGTTATAAATTTTGAGAAGAAATATATAAAAATAATAGTTCTTTCTAATATGAAAAGCTTTAATAATTTTATTTAACAAAGCCCATGAATTGCATAGGTCTTGACTAGCAAACTATCTTGCAATTGGGTTGGCTATTACATTTCATATATCATAGTTTAGTTGACTCATTTTTTGGATCATCCCTCTTCTCTATCTCCTTCATATTACATTGTATATATCATAATATCATCATCGACATCATTTAAGCCTTATCCCAACTACACGAATCCTATTTCACCATTCCATTATGTTCAGTGCCATATCTGATTTAAATTTTTTTATTGGAAATGGTAACTTTCATTGAATTAATAAAAGAGTACAATGCCAATCATTCACAGCATGAGTGTTGACACCATATTTTATTTCAAAATTTACTGTACAGCCCAAAAAAGATTTTCCCTTTGAGTTCCCTGTTTTGCCAAAGTATCAATCACACTATTGGCTGACCTTCTTGCTTGTCTAAGTAAATTACTCCAGTTTGTCTGCAGCAGACTGGTTTAAATCTCCCTCATTTGCGGTCTCAAACTCCACGCCCCAGACTTTTTGTCTGCAGACATCCTATCCATGTCTAGTTTAAATTATAAGTACTTGGGTCATTTCTTATTACTTTGAACCATGTCCTTTTCCCCTTCATCTTGCATTAATATAATTTTTATATGTCTTGATATCTAAATCTAAGGATTTTGAATTAACTAATTTGTCATTGGTGTTTAGCTTGTCAATTAAATGATCGAATTGGTGACTTGGTTAGTAGTAGTTGTTAGCAAAATGTGTGGTCTCAAGCACATTGATGTTAGTTACATTTAGGCCCCATTCAATTTTTGAGAAGTTATTTATTCAGGGAAATGCACTTACACATGTTCTTTTATTTTCCAAGAAAATAAAAAAAATGGTTGCTTTAGCCCTAAAAAAAATATATTATTAAAAGTGGAAAATTTGCCCTATCTAAATGTTGGAAACTTTTCCCCCAGGCAAGACAGCTAATTACCCATTTGGGAGATGGGTATCATTTACTCGGGTAAGTGGTACATAGGGAAAATAAATTTTATGTAGACCCCACATAAATACGAAAAATAACATGGGCACTTTGTCAATGGGAATGAAGATCCCATTGACCAACTTCCCCCTCTCAAAATACAAAATAATAATAATAATGGACCCTTACTTTCATTAGCTTATAAATGATTATTCTTAAAATGAAATTTTAATTGAATTTATTGATTTAGTTGCTATTGAATATATATATGGGTTCCTCCTTATTCGTAAGTAATTAGCATAGTACATGATCACATGTTTTAGGACTTAGAGACGATGAACTGATATGAAGTTTCTTGTGTAAACAAAAGATTAGAAAGGAAATGTTGCTCCTGAAACCATTAGCAAAGTCATAATCCATCGGAGAAACATGTAACAACAATGCAATAGGTTAAAAGCTTTTCCTATGAAATTAAGATAAACTATTGGTTTACTAAGTTGGCTGTCGATCGAATTATGGGAGAAGAAGAAGACCAAATTGCGCTATATTCTTCTAACCCAAGAATTCATGGGATAAGGTGATGGACTTGTATGTCGCAATTATACTACCAAAGATAGCTACAGTTGAGCCTTCACGATTATAATAACATTGGGCAACAGTAAATCACGACCACCAAACATGGGCAAACGTCGAACCGTAGTGTAAAAGTAAAGCCCGTAAAAAACAAAAGCACCATACAAGCGTGCAAGAGTTGTGGAAACACACTGCATGAGATACATGGTAGGATCGTAGAGGAGAAAGCATTTATGGTCTACAAAACTAGTAATTGGCCCACCGCCCTATGATCTAAGTATCTAACATGTGTCCCTATAAAATCAATGGGCATTCTATCATCCCATCACTCAATCCCTTGCTCGTTTTCATTCTTGATTTCCAATCTTCTTTGACTAAATTCTAGTTCCCCCATTTTCATCTCTTCTTCACCTTCAGGGTGAAGATTGCTATCACCGTCTTATACATGATTACAAAGATCATGGTCTCACTTGATCATTCAGGCACTTAAGTGATTTGATAATTTTTATTGGATTTAATATTTATATATAATAAGTGATGAAAAATATATTATTATTATTATTATTATTAAAGATTAAATACTTAAACTATGCCTATGGTTTAGTGAATGGATACAAATTTATCCTACTATTTAAGAAATTACTTAAAGTACCCCAGTTATTTTTTACAATGGACACAATCATCCCTTACCATAAGCTCGCTGTTAAAATATGCTAGCATGAGATGCCACATGACACTTTTTATATATTTAAACGCTGTTAAAATACCTAAACTACCCTTTTATAGTCCAAAATGCCCTTCGGCCTTTGGTGATATCTTCTCTTGAAAGAGGAAAGAAGACTTAACCGTCCCAAAGCCTTTGCTCCATTTGACAGG